ATAGGGTATAGTGTGGTGAAAAATAGCGTTCGTACCACGGACCGAAATGGTTTTGCAGCTCTCGATCGAAAAAAAACTATCTCGAGCCGGCAAAACCTCATTTTCGGCCCTTGGTACGAAATATACTATTATTCCATCAAAACACAAAACACAAAAATTGTTACAAAGGGTTGTACAAAGCAGATGGATTATTCCCCACATAGGCACAGCCTGTGTGTGGGGAATGAGCTTCACCAGTAGTCAAACTTACATATTGATGTAAAAATTAATTAATAACTAAAATTCAATATAAATATAAAATATAATATAAACAAGCGGTTGGTGAAAACATCGTATATACTGTAGACCTGCAACTGTTTAGGGCCTTTTAGGGTTTTGAGAACCACAATAAAACATCTTGCAAGATTTTATATTACTTAATGTTATTTTAAACTATATAATACCGTACTTTAAAATAAAGTTATGGGAGAACTGACTGTACTATTGGAAAATTAGGTTTAAGCATGTACACCTAACTGAAAAGAGATACAACGGGGATAGTATCCTGGCCAAAACATATTTTGTAGGTGGCTTTCAGAGTGAGTAGCCTGAAGCTCTTGGTGGAAGGGCAGTTAAGTTTGTAAATTTAAAGAAGTTTTCTTGTAGTTTTAACTTTGTTAGTCACACATGCATAACTATATTAAGTGATTATTTAAAAATGGATTTAGGCATAATTTGTTTTTTAAAATTATTTTGTATGTCTATCAGATTAAACATTTAACTTTTTAATTTAAATTTTCATGAGGGAAGCCACAACGGGTTTGCTATATATTAATTACGTAAGCCGATTCTTTGCGTCAAAATTGTAGGCGACTGGGAAGTTGTAGAATGACGGGAGGGGTCTCAAATTAAAGGTCTCGATCCCGTGACAGCGGGAAAAATAGTAGAATTTCCCAAATTTTAACCAAATTTGGATATAACGTAATGCTCTCCATAAGAATGTTGTCAGCTATTTTAACTACACAAGTTGGTTCTATGATATTCAATAACATTAAAAAGTTATAAGGTTTACCAACAAGGTGCAGAACTATTCTTTTTTTTCCAATTATGACAACAGCTAACAGAGAGAGCAGGACATTTTTTGGATTTTGAAAATGCACTATTAAACTCTTTGTTTAGATACAGTCATGCCTTGATCATTGGGGGATTTCAATACTGACCTACTCTCGACAAATCAAAACTATGAATACAGACAACTGACTACACTGTTTAACTCTTGCAACTTAGATATACTACCACTCGACCCTACACATCATGCTGCCGAGTCTGACACTCTCCTAGACTTGATAGTGGTGTCGAATGCTGCAGACATTGTGCATCATGGGCAACTTCCAGTTCCAGCAGTATCCAAGCACGATCTCATATTTTGTGTGTTTTCAGTTAAGGCTCCTAAACCCAAGACTAAATTTCTAAAATACAGAGATTTTAAGAACATGAATGTAGTTGACTTTATGGCAGACATTTATGAAACACAATGGCACTTAATAGAAAACTTACCATCAGTTGATGAAATGGTGAATGAGTTAAACACTAAAATTATTAATCTTTTTGACAAACATGCTCCAACAGTAACTAAACGTTTGACTAAAACACGTCCGGCACCATGGATAACCCCAGAAATCCGCAGATTAATGGCTAGACGTGATTGTATTTTTAGGAAAGCTAAACGTTCTCTAAACCAAACAGAAATGGAACAATATCGTTATCTTCGAAATAGAGTGAAACAGCTTTTGAGAAATTCAAAATTAAGACACATCCGTATGCTTTTTGAAAATAAAAATCAATCCTCTAGGGTTTTATGGCGCAATGTAAAAAGTCTTGGGCTTGGGAAGCAGTCTGAACCACAGAGAGTGAATGTCCCTCTCAATGAATTAAACGCTTTCTTCTCTTCATATGGTCAAAATATCGACCAACAACATGTTGTAAATTACATAAACGAAATCAGAAACCTCCCCGATCAGGACCTAGGACATCCTAAGTTTACTTTCAGACCTGTAGTGCAGTCAGATGTTCTTAACGCAATTCGTCGGATTCGTAGCAATGTAGTCGGATCAGATGGCATTCCAATTCGTTTTATAAAAGACATTCTCTTTGCTATACTCCCAACTGTCACATGCATTTTCAACACATCACTAAGGCAAAGCGTTTTCCCTATTTCTTGGAAGTCTGCCCTTATTCGTCCATTAAATAAGATCCCAGCCCCGGCATCTTGCCAGGATTTCAGGCCGATCAGTATATTGCCCGCATTATCAAAAGGCCTTGAAAGAATTGTGCACTGCCAAATGACGGAATTTCTGACTGACAACAACATACTTTGCAGCTTTCAGTCTGGTTTTCGAACGGCACACAGCACAGAAACAGCACTATTACGTGTGACCGACAACATTAGACAAGCAATGGAACGTCGGCAGGGTACAATTCTAACACTATTTGATTTTTCGAAAGCTTTCGACTGCGTAAATCATAATCTTCTTCTGGAAAAGTTAAGGGCCATAGGGTTTTCAAATGGTGTATTGGACTGGCTGGGATCTTATCTGTCAGGCAGGCGGCAATGTGTTGAGGTTGATGACGTACGATCTGACTGGGAGACAGTTACTTGTGGTGTGCCTCAGGGGTCAATCCTTGGCCCTCTACTGTTTGTACTATACATAAATGACCTGAGCTCAGTCCTCACACACTGTAAATACCATATGTATGCCGACGACTTACAGATTTATACGCATTTCTCAGCAAAATATATCAATGACAGTGTTCTAAAAATCAACGAAGACATCGAGAAAATCATTACCTGGACTGAAAAACATGGACTTAGACTAAACCATACAAAAACAAGACCAATAATAATTTGTCATTCACGTTTACGAAACTCAATTGACCTTGACACAGTGAACTCAGTAACTATAAATGGGACAGCTTTACTTTACTATGACAAAGTGAAAAATCTAGGACTTACTATAAACTCGACGCTTACTTGGGGAGATGCAGTATTAGACATACGTAAAAAGGTGTTTGCATCAATCCACTCACTGAAGAAGTTACAGAATTTTTTACCTTTACACATAAAGTTACACCTAGTAAAATCACTTGTCTTCCCTCACTTCACTTACTGTAACTCTGTGATCAATGACATGACTGTAAATCTCGCTGATGCTCTCCAACGCACTCAGAACTACTGTATAAGATTTGTTTATGATCTGAGACGTAATGAGCGCGTTACTCCTTTTTATGTTGATTCTAAATTACTAAAACTATGTGACCTAAGATCAATAAAAATTCTTATGATAACCTATTCAATATTAAAAACAAAATTTCCAAAATATTTTTTAAACGACTTCAAATTTGTAGCTGAAGAAAGTGTAAGAAATTCACGTTCTGCTTCAGTAACTTTGCGTATGCCTCATCATAGAACGGCAGTTTATGACAGAGCGTTTGTTGTTTCTGCTTGTCGCCTTTGGAATGATCTCCCTCTAGCCATAAAAACCCTTGATAGCCGTCCCCGGTTTGTGACAGCACTAAAAAATCTGTTTTCTGGACGTATGGCCTTGGTTGGTATGTCCTAGGCGTGCGCTTGGTTGATCACTGACAGGTGTGCGTGTGTGTGTGCTAGTTCTTGCGAGTGTGTGTTGTGTGTGTGCGTGTACGTGTGTAGGTGTGTGTGTGTGTGTGGGTGTTTATGTAAGGTGGTATGTTTTAAAAGTTTATTGTTTCTTTTTACATTAAATATTGTAAATAGATTATAGTATTTTATTTGTATTGTACATTGTTTTGTTTTATTTGTATGGTTAGATTTGTATAAACAGGTTAAGTGTAAGGGCCATGTGGCCCTAACTTTGCCTGACTAAATAAATCATTTTCATTTCATTTCATTTCATTTCATTTCATTTCATTTCAGCTAATTTGAATCAAGCAGTAATAAAAAGCTGTTAGAACTTACTTGTTTCTATTGTTTAGGTGCAGTGGTAGAACATTATGGCTGTGGTAGATGTGCAATACTATAATATACCATAAATTGAAAGAACTGAGTTTTCTTAACTGTGTCCTCTCCCATTAAAAACGCAAAACACGAGTATCACTGCAATAAGCGTTTTATGCTCATACGCCAACCCCGTACGAAGAAAGGGTACTCTGCTATTTTACCACAGGGCATAAAATAACACTTGTGTTGTCCAGTGCTGAGATTTTGTCGCCCAGTGACTATGGGTGGTGCTGGCATATTTTTTTTCATGATTCACATTTTAAATGTATCGGAATAAAAAAAATAACATTATGTATATATTAGGGGTATTGGGCTATTGAGTATTGGGCTATGATTTTGGTCCAAGAGGTTGTGAAGGGAGCCTTGGCCTGTTACAAGGTTCTAGAATACGTAATTAAGTGAGATTATATGGACTATTTACAAGAAAATATAAACGAAAAATTAATTAAAAGATATGTAGAAATGTGTGATTTTCACTTTAACTGATGCAAAAATTTTTGGGGTTTGGACCCCCAGACCCCCCCCTTTTTGACTAAATTTAAATTCCCGTGTTATTCTTATGGAGAATAAACTATTGTAGTTTGGTTTTTCATGGATATATTATGATCAAATTTAGCCAATGTATAATTTTATCCTTAGCTCTTAACATTGCACTAAAAAACACATTGTAGCAGCAACAAACCCCCCCCCCTGCAGCAGCAAACCTAAGTATTCATAAAACTGAATGCTGTTTTAATAATAAAGGCAATTATTTTAAGGAAATATTTTATTGATAATCTAATTGGACTTTTGGAAATTTGCTTCATCTGCAGATTTGCTGCAGTGGGGGTATTTTTATTTTAGGCCTAGTCATTTTCCGCTTATCCAATCTTGCTACGCACGGTCAGTTTAGGTTGGATATTTGAGACTCTACTGTATACTATCAGAATGCTTTGAACTAGTCCCTTGTAGTCCCCTATGAGCTGATTGTTGGTGTTTGTTTCAGAGGTGTGCTGTGGCGAGGAGTTGCCTGAAGTAGAGATCATCAGTTTGCTACAAGAGCAGATCCCCAGATATCGTCTCAGAGCAGACACACTTACACAGTTTACCGGTCAGTCATAACACCACTACTTGTACGATCCATCACTTATTATACCAGTATTAATAAAACCACGAGTTGTTTTTGCTTTTAGATCATATTTACATTTTACGGTTGTTGCTTGTGATTGGGGAAATTTTTATGAGTTGAAAAAAATATTCTAGTATCTTAAGTGTAGAAAGCAGCTTTTTTGTCAAGACAAAAAAATATAACGCTATATAAAATTAATCAAAACCTTTTTTAATCTGTTGTAATTATCAAAAGCCGCCTAACTGATTATGTTACAAGATAGTAAAGTATTCCTTTCTATCTGATGAATGATGGATAGAGAGGTATTCTTTCTCAGGCATTCATTCATTATTAACATCCAGATGTAACAACTAGTTGCACAACCTCCTCTCAAATCCTTATGCAAAACACCAACTTGTCATAATCATCTCTGTCACTGTGTAATGATGGAGAACTAATGACTGCTTTGCAATAATTTGCTATAGTAAGTGCATAACCAGCCCCCCAAGTAACAGTTGACTGCATCATTTCAATCACAAATTTGGATTGTGAAGACTTACTATCCAATTAGTGTTTATCTTAAGAGTTATCTTAGACAAAGTTAGGTTATAAAAGTTTGATAAGCATGTGTAAGTACTGCAGACTGCTACATAAGGCAATGATTGAAATAACTGCACAAGGCATAAAATAATTAACTACTTATAGCGTTTCACAGTATAAAAAAGTAAAAAATATGCTTAGATTAAAACTTATTTCTGATATTTTTATGTTTTTGTTTAATCTAATAGTAATTTATTCAGCCATTAATTACATAATAGTACAATAGGCTTGGTCAATATCAGACTCACAACGCTATAAGCCTTCATAGAAAAGAAATAATGAATTCTAAGCATAGCTAGAAAAGTCAAATCTCATAAATTGTTTGGGGGAGTAAAATATATTGTTTTGGAAAAATCTTTTAAGAGTTCTCTTAAATGAGGTGAAATTTAAAATATCAATGAGGCTGGGAGTTAATTGAAAAACTAAATCTGCTTGTAATGATGGCTGTTGTTTGATTTATTCAGCCTAAATTGAGGTAAATTTAGATTTTGTTTATTTCTGGTATTGTATTTATGTATTGAAGATCTGTCCATAAAAGAGAGTCGGTTTTCCTTTAGGCTACATGCAATAAGTTTGTGTAGGCTATATAAAAATAGAGGGCAATGTCATTATTTTTAATTGTTTAAAAATATCCCTACAACTTTTAGCACCATCCAGATTTTTATTAATCTTACAGCCTTATTCGACCTTATTCGACGATCGCGTAAAGATAGTGTTAATGACATGAGTAGAAATTTAAGGTACAAGCCTTGGTGAGAGGTTATGTTTTCGTTTATAACCTCTCAGTGCCACTGACAGTGATTCAACAAATCATTTTATCAAACACTAATAGCACCACTCATTAAATATTAAATTGGTCTAAACAGCTGATTAGTTGACGTTCGAAGCATTACAATTATACTTCTTCTCTCTCAATCCTTAAAATTCATTGGTCTGTTGGGTCTATTGTTAAGTAAAACAACAATCCTGTTAAGTAAGTAAAAAACGCTGTTAAGTGAATCTTTTGAATTCTAAAAACTGAACTGAAACGGCTACTTAAAAAAAAAAAAAAACAGTCGTAGGTAAAATATTTTACTCAATAGTATTAAAAAAATAAATGTTAAACTGATATAATTAGTTCTATGCATTTACAATGTCTTAAGAAGTAACTTTTTTTAATAGTTTGTTGTAGATAATCTCATCACACTATGACCTGCTACTAATGTTATCTCAGTTCAAAGACTACAATAGTAAATTAATCAAGAATTATGAATCACATTGAGCAAATTTAGTAGCTAATAGTTAAAAAAATATGTGAATTGCAGGATACGAGAATCAAGATTGGTTCATTCCTAGTCCAGCATTGAAACCTGAGGAATTTGATGCTGCAGCACTTACCCCGGACCAGATCCGAGAAACTCTAAACTACTTCCGTAAGTATTGTAACAGATTCCATCCATAATCTTAAGTTATTTGTCGGTGATTATAAGTTTATGTTGTTTAACTTTTGTGCGCCGCCTACACTATTTATTTGACGTAGTGGGACAGTAGCGTAAGCAGGAACCTACATTAGACTGTCGTTCCCTCCTCCAACAAATTATTAGTTCAGTGTGAGACAACCTGATGTAAAGAGAGGGTGTGCAGCTTGCTGTGCCACTCTACACGTTCAATCAGTTTATTTTCCATTCCTTCTACTTTAGTGGGAGTGGAGTCTGTACTAAGTTAGTGTTTCATATTGTGTTTAATTCACTTTTAGTGCTATTTTTTTCTGGTATCAACCTGTGGGCCATCCGTCTCAAAGATGAATCTAGACTCAGGGTATCAATTACTGATAATAACACTCCTATTGACTGCTCAATTTGCTTAATGAGTGAGGAGGATCTATTTATTGAATTAAAAGAATGAGGAAACACAGTTTGGAGTGCATTCCCTGAAACATTAAACATAGTAATATTCACACCCTAACATCATTGTTTCAGGATGATGTATCTTCAAAATGCAAATTGTTTATAGTAATTTTTGGAAATTATTTGAATTACTTTGGATCAGCATAGCTTTGCTGAGCTATCAACTTTGAGGGCAACGTTGTGAAATAAATACACAAAGTTTCGGATTCCTATTGTACCAGAAGATACTTAATCCTATTGGGCTTCATCTCATAGAGGTATACACTTGCTTACTTTTTCTGAAATGAATGGAAATATCTTAATCAAAATGTGTTTTCTATATTTCACACCTAGACTGAACAAGATATACAATAAAACAGTGCAGGTGCGGGTAGTGTGATGGAGTGACTTGTCGCCTAGTGTGGCGGTGCTTTAAGATAACATGTAGAGCATATTTATCGCCGTGACCTAAAATTTCTCCTGTACACATTAGTTTTTCTGTTGCATATTGCAGGTCTTTTAGTACCCTCTTCATTTAATTTAATGTTAACCATTTTTTTTTGTCGCGGTGACCGATTCACCCAGTGTGGCCATAGCCCAAACCTCAAATAAGCTCTCTACGAGTCCAATTACCCACTTTTTCACTCAACAAACTCATTGTTTGCAGTCTCAAGGAAAAATTATGCTCCTTGATGATACTTAGTGGTGTCACTTAGAATTCACAACAGAGTGACTCCATTGGTACTTGTTACAGTTTTTGTGACTGCATGGTAGTTCCACATTACCTTTGAGGCAATGTCATCAGTGGTGTAGTGGGGCCGAGAATGTGTGGGAAAAGCGGACTCTCTCTGTTTTTCCAAGTATCATATATTTTATTTTTATTTTATGTGTTTGTCAGTTTTCGGATAATGGTGGGCGTTCCCTCACTGGAAAATTTTCGACTACACCACCAAACGTCATCTCCTGCTAATGCCATCAGTATGCACTTCTGTCTGAGATGATGTCTTTTTTTGGCAACAGAGGCCTCTCTCAAAACAGGCTCTTGCTGACTCTGCTAGGGCAATCTCCTTCTGCTTATAATACCTAGGCTAGTTAGCTATACGCTTAATTCCACTCTAGGTCTGTTACCACATTCATCTGCACCGTTCCCTTTAGACCTTGAAGACCTATCGGAGTACCTAGTTAGACCCCTTTTTACAGCCAAGTTATCCTGAGTATCATCCCTCTCTGCTTATATGATATACTTTCTCTAACTCTATTGTCTTATTATTATTGACGAAGTGGTTGATCTTCATCTGATGACTCTCAGTATTATATTGCCAGTTGCCCGTCACGAGTGTATTATGACAACTTGAAATGTATTGCAGGTATCTATTCCAGGCCATTCAACCTTACTCCTAGATACTTGAAGTCCCTTTTAGACTGAATTAATCCAAAAGAGGGTATACTTACGAAAATGATGACTGCTTAGAGTATTCAGTGTCAGATTCTCTCTATCATACCATAAATTCATAAAATTCAATACCCTGTCCTTGAGAACAAAGCATGCCCCCTGTATCGCCCTCTTACTATTGTTCAAAGGATAAATATCTTAGGATATCATGCTTACGGCTTGTTAGCAATAGCCCAGTCAATGAATGCAATAAAACACCCTTTTTCGCAACTAAATGGTGGAAAGCTGGATTTTTTATATGTGATAGAACTACATGAGAGGTGTATTTTCCCAAAAGTCCCCTCTTCTACCCCTTGAGCTTTCCCCCCCACCCCCCTCCAAACCTAGGAATTGCAGTGTTTTACTTAATTGATCATAATTTGAATGCTATGTAAGCTATCGAGCTGCAATCTGTTTTGTTTTATTTCTGAATAGTTTTCCTACAACTTTTATAGTTATAACATTTTTCTAAAACCAATACTTAGGGAGATATAAAATTTAAACTTCGTTAAAAGCTTTGTTTCAGAGTGCAAAATTTTGTTTTTCTCTATGTATACTTTTAAATAGAAATAATACGCGAATATGGTTCAAACAAAAGTTTTAGTACGTTTTTCAAGGTTTACAAATATATTATTGGTTAGTCATCTAGGTGACCGGGTGAAGAGCTGGGCGTCGGCAAAGACAGCGCGAGCGGGCTAGTAGAACACCTCTGCGCTGCGTCATCGCATCCATCCGAGCCAATAAACGCACAAACTGCCTTTTTTTGTAGCTAAATAGTGGAAAGCTGAGTTTGTTATTTGTGATGGAACCACTTAAGACGTGTATTTTCAAAAAGTTCCCGATTTCCCCCCCCCCCCCCCCCCAACCCACTCCAAACCTGGAAATTACAGTCTTTTACTTTACTGGATATTATTCAAATTCTACGCATGTTATCGTAGTGAAATTTGATTGGTATTATTTATAACCAGGTTATTATTAAATCACCATTGGTTTACATACAACTTTTGTACCAAAGGTTTTCTTATAAAACTATATCCAAAGAGAAATAGGATTTTAACTTTTTTTGATAATATTTATGTTTTAGAGTACACAATTTTGTTTTACCCTCTATATATTTTTTACAAATAAAATACGCAAAATGTGCCAGAAACAAAATTTTTGTATGTTTCTTAAGGTTTATTAATATATATTTGGTTAGTCATCTGAAAAAACACAGTGTGGGGCGTTGGCAAAGAAAGCGCGTGCATGCTTCTTCAAAGCATCCGCGCAGCGCAGCCCCGCCCGTCGATGCGTCGCGTCGTAGGCACCGACATCGCTAAGTTCTCAAAGGTTGGCTTTGTACTTTGTACTTTACTACCAAAACAATCTGTATATAATCTTACCCGTGAACTGCAAAACAATTATTATTTAGATGGAACCCAATCATTTACTTTTTTATAACCGGTTTTGGTTTAGGTAAATTAAACTCTTGTTTATTTATAATTAATCTCTTGTAACTTACTTGTTATACTTGCAATACTTGTAATACTTTATTTCCTTATCTTTGACCAACGGAAGTTTGATAGATTGAGGTATAGAACACTAGGCCTAATAAACACTTTACAAATCACTATAAACACACTCTTTTGCTCTTCCTTACGTTACAATATGCTTTCCATTATCTACCACCAATGGGACTCGCTTTGTTCCTCAAGATTTATACTAACTGCGCCTCGCGGTCAGTAAAGATCTAAACAGTAAACTGTAAAAAAAATACTAACATAACAACATAATCATTTGTACATTTCTTAAATGTATTGTTAGTTTTAACTCGTTTCTCATTTGAAATAATAATGTATTTAATTATTTCAGTCAACGGCTACACCTATTGACATTAATATACATGGATACATATATTACATTACATAAAGAAACATACTGAACCCAATGATGAGATGACCCAATTCGCCTATGGGTCTGACGAAGATTGGAGTGTCGAATCAAAATCTACCACCACTTACCATCTTTTATATATATTTACAGTATAGTGAGTAACACTATAAGTGTAAATTTATATTTTGAGTGTTAGGCTATTAGACGTATTTTCTTTTATTTACTTTCCAATTAATTAATTAATGTAATAAGGCATATATCCAAAAGTTATAAATAAGTACTGTAAATAAAAAAACTATATCTGTGTCCCCATACATGCAGGCAAGACTATTAACGGGATACATACAGGCAGATTATTTAAATTTCCTTTCTTAACATATTGTGTAGATGTGTCAATCAAATTAGGTATTTTTTGTAAAAATTGGCAGCAATGTATTACGATTCTGTTTTACGGCACTAAAACGTGGTCGAGATCAATCATTTTTAGAGACTCTATACTGTGAATTTTGGTGACGTTCTGTTCTCTAATATTTGATTGTTTTCATGTTATCTTAAAAATGCGTCAGCATAATAGTTCTTTATTAGTTTGTGGTAGACATAATGCAAACGTTTAACATCGGTAATAAAGATGAAGGCGCTTATTAAGTGTTTTAAAATCTCCTCTATATAGACTTAGGTAATAAAAAAGTTAGTTTTACATTGACTGGCTTTAATTTGTATTCCTTACCATGATTAAAAATAGCTTATAAATATTACCGACAGTTTTCTACGTTGTTCGTGATATTATTTTAACACAGGCCTACAACTCATGGCAGAGCAGAAAGCTAACCCTTGCTAGCGGGAAGCGTGAAGAGAGGGACATATCAACGATAGGACGCAGTTTGTATCAAGGATTAGTGGGTCGACGAAAACTTTTTACTGACCGCGAGGTGCTTCATTTAGTCACGGTTAAGTTTGGAAACAGATTGTTTTGGTAGTTAAGTAGGCTACAAATTAGGAAATCTTAGGATTTGTATGAAACAGCTGAGAACTTAGCGGTGCTGGTCTTTATTATGCATCGACGGGCTGCGCTGCGCGGATGCTTTAAGAAGCCTGCACGCACTGTCTTTGCCGACGCCCACACTACATCAGTTTTTTCAGATGACTAACCAAATATATATTTATAAACCTTAAGAAACATACAAAAATTTTGTTTCTGACACATTTTGTGTATTTTATTTGGAAAAAATATATAGAGGGTAAA